CCTGTCGCTGTTGGCAGCTCCGCTAAGATGAGCGGCGAGGCCGCCCCAGGCCTGGAGGGCAGGGTCCGGAGAACGCTGCGAAAGGTCTTCGGGTTTGAGTCCTTCAAGACTTCCCTGCAAGAAAACGCGACCATGACGGTGGCGAGAGGTGAGACTCAGCAGCAGGAGGATGCAAAACACGTCTGGTTTTCCATCTTGCTGGGAGGGCGATCCTGCAGGAGTTGGTGTCGTGCCTGGCTTGACAAGATGCATCACCTGAACTGGGCTGGACCAGCCGGCCCTCCAGGCTCTCCTCTGCTCCGAGGTCATTTTAGTGGCACAGGAGCACGAGCATGTGCTGAACACAAGCGCTCTGAGCACGGCTTTGCCCTGTGCTTTGCATTTGTTTTGTGACAGCACTGTTGCATCAGCTAGGAAATAGGAAATGTTAAAATGCAGTTTTGTTGGTATCTCCTTTGGAGGCATCTGCCAGTGTGTTTATGCACAGACCAGGTCAAAACTGTTTACATTTAGACATTTTCAGAGTAAACCTGTCCTTGTGTTAGAACTGATACCAGCAGAAGGCTTGATTTCCTGGCATGGTTCATATCTGTTCTCTGAATCGTGTGGCCGCTGCTGGCTGGGCAGGCAGCTCACACATATGGGCTGCCAACTGTCACTTCCCCTGGCAGGTCTCGCAATGCAAATCAGAACGGTGTCAAACTCGGCACTCAGGACATAGTTACCGTTTTCCTCCGTCGCCAGCAGCTGTGCACACGTGCTACTGACAACAGACCAGCCAGAAGCAATGTTCTGTCTCTGCCTTTTAACGTTGCACATGCCTGTTGAAGATGTACATGGCATCTCCCTGACTTGAAGCGGGTACTGCTTAGCACGGTGGCAGTTACTAACTGCATGATGGTTTCTCCGTGGTTGCGATTTCCAACCCTTATTTCTTACCAGATACCTTTCTGGGATAAACTTTAAGAGGATGTGGTAAAGATCTGTCACGGGGCTGGTAATTCAGTAACTGGAGGTCTCCAAGATGCGTGAAAGCAGTTCATCTGAAAGAGAATCGGCATGAAAAACGTGTTTAACTTCCCTTTATTTTCGTTTCTGTGTATGTGCTGGTAGTTTTTTAAAGCTGTTTCTGAATGTTTACAAAGCAATCAGAGATTCTTTGAAAGAAACCATTGCAGGCATGCAAAGTATTGCTGTGCTTTTGGAACCTAAGATGAAGTGTTCTTTGTTCGTATGCCACACGGTACACACACGTATGCTGTTTCTCAGAGATTATGAGGCTTTCTGCCCAGCACTCCAGTGAGAGCCCTGGGAACTCACCACCACTCAGTAGCCTTGAGCTTTCTTCTGTTGTCTTTGCAGGCGAGAAGGATGTCTTTGTGTGCATGCCCACAGGGGCAGGGAAATCCCTGTGCTACCAGCTTCCCGCGGTTCTGGCAGTGGGCATCACCATTGTCATTTCACCTCTGATTGCACTGATTCAGGTAACTGTCTCTGTTAGCTGTGGGGAAGCCGTCAGCGCAGTGGGTCGGGAGATGCTGGAGGCACAGCTGCCTCTTGTCTTTCAGTCCCGTGTCTCTGCTCTCGGCCTGCCTCTAGATCCTCTTGATGTCTCGGTGTGTTTTCCTTACCCTGGTGACAGGTGAAGAAACTGCAGCTTAGCTGCAGAGCAGAGCAACTCTGGTATGTGATGCCATGCGGTTCTCTAAAAGGAGGTTTTCCATCTTTCATAATAACTTGGTGGTTTTTATAACCGAGCCTTTCTCCATTTTCCCCGGTTGTCTTTTACCTCCAGTGTGCTATGCAGAAGCAGCAGAGTACCTCTACTGTTACCACTGTAAGATTTGCAGGGGAAGCAGAGTGTGTCACAGTAACAAACAGGTTGAGATGGACTCAGCAAGTCTTAGGGAACAGAGCTGGAGTGAACCGTCAGAGATCTTCTTATCAAGCCCTGAGATGGGGTGGCTATGCCTGCGGTGATCGTGATGTATTTCAGTGTAGACGAACTTCAAGGGCTTGGTTTGTGTAGTTTATTGCAGGGAAGGCTGGGAGCTGACACTGTGAACAGAAAACAGTGGATATTAAATAATCACTGAAACCAGTTATTGAGTGAAATAATGAGATATCCATTTCTCAGGACTGTTCATATATTCTGAAATGTTATGTGCTCAGTGAACAGCTCAGCATAGGGATAAGGAGGAGAATTTATATGCCTGGGCTTTATCTGATGTGATGCCGTGTCTTCTCGGTTTTCATGGCATGATTCCCATCCAGATTTGGTTCTGTTGCAGTGGTGATTTGCATGATTCTTGTATTTTGTCCTATCTCAGCTGTATTTATAACATCCTTTAGTTATTTTGGAATGAAACGCACTGTCTTACTGTAGGGTGATGGTATTCATTTTCCATCTGTGACAGCTCGATGGTGTAAATCCTGAGGTGTGTTGGTGGCTTGTTTTAGCTCACTGTGGCTATATGGAATTATGTTGCACAGATCCCTGCTGGTGTTTCCTGGCAGCAAATCGATTGTGCAGCCTTTCACTTGTAAGATTATGTTAGAGATGGATAGATAAATGCATCCAGAGGTGAAGTTCTAAATACCTAGACTGTAGGCCTGTGTTATCCTGAGGTGGAAGTTGAGGCCTGGCCAGGACCTTCCTAGTAGTCTTTCTTGGTGACGGTGACTTTTTATATATCCGTTTCCTTTTAATTTAATTTTAATTTTGTTTTTACCCTAGGATCAAGTGGATCACTTGCTAGCGCTGAAGATCAAGGCCTGCTCTCTGAACTCCAAGCTTTCTGCCCAGGAAAAGAAGGCCATCCTGGCTGACTTAGCAAGCGAGAAGCCCCGAGTAAAGCTCCTGTACATCACCCCAGAGATGGCAGCTGCCTCTTCCTTCCAGCCTACCCTGAACTCCCTGGTGTCCCGAAACCTGCTGTCCTACCTGATAATCGATGAAGCACACTGCGTCTCCCAGTGGGGACACGATTTCCGACCCGACTACCTACGGCTGGGCACCTTGCGCACTCGCATCCCCAGTACACCGTGCGTTGCCTTGACTGCCACTGCCACCAAGCAGGTCCAGGAGGACATCGTGGCGGCGCTTAAGCTAAAGCAGCCGCTTTCCACGTTTAAGACTCCTTGCTTCAGATCTAACTTGTTCTACGACGTGCAATTCAAAGAGCTCTTGACTGATCCATACGCCAACTTGAAGGATTTCTGTCTGAAGGCACTTGAAGTGAAGAACACCACTGGGGTAGGTTTTGCATTTGGAGAGGAAGGACAAACTGACCTTCCAGCGCGTGGTGTGGCCCTGATAGGTCTGCGGCAGGGAAGGAGGACGTCCCTGAAAGGAAAGTCCTTCCTTATTTTTTGGTTCTTCTAAAAATGCTCACGTATGGCTTTTAGTTCTGTAAAATAGGTAGAATGTGAAGGGTGCGTTTCATTCAAGCAAAGGTGTTCTCAGAATGAGGTTAGTCTGAAAGAAAAATGGATTAGGAACATGCAACTAACATTTCGGTCTGGATTTGTCAGGTCCCAGTGATCGTTGTGTGTTTGGTTGTGTGAGAATGAGCAGAAGCGTTTGGAGCGTTGTATTGAATTTCCTACTCTAACACTAATTCCCAAAGTAACTCTCAGCACTTCAGTTATAGCCTCTGCACCTGAGTTTATCTGTAAGGCAAAGCGAGACTGCTTCTTGCCTTATGCCCGCAGGGGGAGGATCTGGGGACTGAGATCTGAGGACATCTCTGTCTGATGTACGTTTGCGCTGCAACAGTAGCTTTCAGTTGCTGGGGAATCAGCTTAGAGAAGAGATGAGCTTTAGGTGTCCCTTCTCTCTTCACCACCCTAGTGACTGCGGCTTTGTTGATTCACTTCAGACAGTGTCGTGGACTTTCTCTCCTGTCTGCCCAGGTGTACTCCGGTTGTGGCATCGTGTACTGCAGGATGAGGGATGTGTGTGACCAGCTGGCCACTGAATTGAGCTACCGAGGAGTGAAAGCCAAGGCGTATCACGCAGGTATTGGTAGCTGCACCTGCATCGCTCAGTAGCTGGTAGAACTGAGCTGTACCACCTTTGAGGCCTGGGTTGGGGCTACCTAGAAAACAAGTTTCTAGGCATGGTCTGGAGTGTGTGATGCTCATGCGTCAGGTCTGTGAGGTAAGTGCGGGGCCTTCAGTGGAATGACATTCCCTTCCCTCCAGAAGTGTTGGTTTTGTTGGATTTTACATGGCCTAAATATAAGAACTGCTTTTATCCCAGGAGGGGTCTGAATTTTTCTCTTCAAAATAGACACAGCCGCTGCTGACTTCTGCTTGATCACAGGCCGGTTTAAACATGGGCAGCGGAGTGTGTACCCCTGCCAGCGTTAGTGAAGGGGTTACCTCGCAGTGGGGCAATGGAGGAGGAAGCACTCTTTTTTTTTTTGGTTGTTTTCTTCCCTTTTTTTCCCTTCCCAGGACTCAAGGCAGCTGACAGGACTTCAGTCCAGAATGAATGGATGGAGGAGAAGATCCCAGTTATTGTTGCAACCATCAGTTTTGGAATGGGAGTAGACAAAGCAAATGTCAGGTGTGTGAGGGTTTTTATGCACCACTGGAGTCTGAAACCTGAGCAGTGGGAAGGGAAAGCCTCAGTCCCTCCGTAACCTGATATGTGTGACTCAAATGCCTGATGAACACTTGCTAAAACCCACAAAAATAGAGCTAGAGGGTTTTTTTTGTCTTAGAAGTGGCAAAAAGAAACCTGGAAGAGTTTTGTAAAAAAATTAAAACCAAGACGCCAGAGCCCTTCTTTGCCAGTCATCTTCAAATCCGAGAACATTTGCGGAATGCTTGTTTTTTGCCACACCCTCTGGGGTTTCAGAAAGAGCCGTCTAGATGCAACCACAGCTGTCCCTTTCACTTAATGGAATAGTTGCTGTTAAAGAGCAGTGGGAAGAAAATCTGCACCTAAAATAATTCATACACCCTCTGCTAAAGTGGTCAGAACCAGCTTTTTTTTTTTTTTTTTGAGAGATCTCGTTTTGGAACGCAACGCGGGGGAAAAAACAGCAGTTCACCAATGGCAGTAAGCTCTAGTCCAAGGACAGAAACTCTGCATGTGTTTTCAATTGCTGTTCCTCTGGGACTTCTGTAACCATGAAGTGCTCTGTGGCGTTAGAATTCCTGCACCACACTGTAGCTGTGCTGGGTTAGTGCTGGGAGCTGTGATCACGTGGCAGAGGGCTAACTCAGGTGCGGCACATACAACACCCCGCAAGGATCCGACCTTACCCTAAAATCCAGATAAAGCAATTGCTCTGAACACTGTGGGACATCGCTGAGACGATCACAGCAGTTCACAACTCTGCCATCCTCCTGTCTGTGGCACTGTGCAGCCAGATAACAGGATCCCATGGCGATGACAGACTGTTTGACTGCTTGCTGCGTGTTACCCAACAGAGAAATGGGACGTCTCGTAGGACAGCAGCGTGAATAATGACCTGCTGAAAGCGCTCTGCCCTGTGCAGGGCAGTAGTCAGTACAAAAAGTGAAGAGTAACTGAAACACATAGAGCTGATAGAAAGTGAATTATAGCTGAAATATTCTTGTAATACGGTTAGTTTCCAAGGAATGGAGTTAAAGTAACTCTTTACTGAATGTTTTTTAATGATTTAAAGGACGTTATACCTAAGGCCAGGCAGCAAGGTACTGCTCCGTAGCCTTTGCTCCATGTTGGCAGAGTTCTGAGTGTTCCTGTGCATGCTATGAAGTAAGATCAGGTCTGACAGGTTCTGGAGGTGACTCTTCTGGACAAAAGGGAAAACAGAAGTGTCTCATTGTGGTGGGATCTGCACCTCTCTCTTCAATTTTGTTTGAGATTATTTATCAATTCCTTTAGTAAACTTCCTGATGGTGATTAAATGTGTCGGGCCATGATGCTTTATGCTTGATCTGTTCCTGGAGTGTTCAGAGAAACATGTTTGCTTGCTTTTGTCATTTAATCTTTCGCTACACCCATATACATCATACCTGCCTCTGGGACACTCTGGTTTTGAGGCAGACTGGTATTTAAAACATTGGCAGTGTTCCTGTACTGTAAAACCTTCTCTACACATGTATAAGCTGAATTGCTGAATATTCGGGTACGAGCAGTTTAAAGCAGTCCTGCAGTGGTGTGTTGGAAACCTTCCTTCAGAGATTACATAAGGTTTAGTGAAGATTCGTAGTCATATTTGCTGGCTGGGAAGGGTGCCCTCATCTACAAGTGTGCTTGGTGAGACAGAACTTTATTGGCAAAGAAGTGTCTTTTTAAAGTTAAATATTTCCAACTGTGTTCCACAGAATAATTAGGACTTTTTTATTAGTGTCGCATTTTATGGTAAAATCCCCACAAATTCTTAAATCAATGTCCATATTCTCACTCTTCATAGCTGTATGATTGTAGGCACGTTTGGGATATTCAGGTGCTCGTTCTTTTCCGTCCATTTGGAGTGACGTCCTGCTCACGTGTTATTCATGTGCCGGCTCTGCTGCTTTCTTTATGGCTCATGTTAAGAGGACTTAAATTTCTGTGTGCAGAATCCATTGCTCTGCTAAATGCTCTGTGTTCTATGCTTTTTCTGCCCTGTTTTTTACTATTGTTGATGTCCAGAGACAGCACAATCATGTATGCTGTGATGGGAGAAACCCAGAGCCTTACGTTTCCTGTTGTCTCATCACGTGCAGATTTGTTGCCCACTGGAATATCGCGAAGTCGATGGCTGGGTATTACCAAGAGTCTGGCAGAGCTGGGAGAGATGGGAAGCCATCCTGCTGCCGCCTCTACTACTCCAGGAACGACCGGGATCAAGTCAGCTTCCTGATTAAGAAGGAGCTTTCTAACATCCAAGTAAGAGCTGCAGAATAGTACCCACTGCCTAGACGTGCTGCCTTTGCTCTGGTCTGGTTTGATTCTTGCCTTCAGTGACCCCTGAATATGTGAAGATGAAGTGAGTTTTTCTGGGTCTAGAGCTGTCTGTAGCCCTGTTTCAAGGGGCAGCAGAAAGGAGCAAAGCACGAAGGGAAAGGGCTGCCAGATCCAGCTCCAGTTCTGTTGGAGGCACGAGTGGGCAGAAGTGTGGAGCAGAGCCAGGGTGGTGTCTGTACCTGTTTGTCGGTGATCAAAATGGTTGGATTTGGTCACTGCTGGAGTTTCTTTGTTTATACTGAAATTGAAGACTATAGTTATTATCTCCCTCTACCTGCAGGAAAAAAAAGGCACCTTAAAAGAATCTGACAAAGCTATGATGACAGCTTTTGACGCCATTGTGAGCTTCTGCGAGGAGCTGGGGTGAGTGCACTTCTTTCAAACAGTGCTTAATGTTTGGGGAAACCATGCCCTGTCCCTTCTGAAGCAGTGTTACTGCTGAGATCTTGCATGTCTAGGAAAAAGAAAATACTGAATGAGTCACCTGGTGCTTTGCTGTCCAGACTGAGGAAGGTGTCCCTGAGGCACCTCTCGTTCACTCCCACCTCTTGAGGTAACTGAGATGTTGGTCTTGGAGCCTGACCAAGTGATGTGGTGATGTTAAACTATAAATCCTCTGGCTATGAATTTTGCTATGTTCTATCTTTGATGGTGGGTTGACTTAGTTACATTTCCTTTCGTTTTGACTCTGTCCTCCTTCACTGCATCATCTCTTTTCTAAGGAGACAAACAGACAGCCTAATCGGTGTGGGATGGAAGTATTTAGATTTAATGTTTCTCAGTCTCAGGGGCTCCTCTCTGCAAAGTACTACGTATCCATGATTCTCATTGACCTTAGAAGGAGCTGACGGTGCCTAGAATGGTTCAGAAACAGGCTTAAATTATGGATGTGCCCAATCTAAATGCAGACTAGCAACCGCAACGTGCATTGTTCAGATTGAGTTCACGACTTGTAAGCTGTAATTGTACTAATTGCTATTCTATGCTGGATAAGACATCAAAGCTGTAATTTTGCGAGAAAGCAGCATGTGTTCACTAACTGAAAATGTTCAACACATGTCTTGCTTTCAAGTCTGCATTTTGTTTCCCTTTTCGCTCTTGTGTCTAGGGCAACTTTTTCAGGGTGAATGCAGAATGTTCTGCTTTTCTGACGCCTTGGTGAACATGTTCTCTCCCTGTGGTCGTTTCCTAAACAAATCCTGGTTTTATGGGGTTATTCTGGGAAAGTCTTGCTTGCACTGAAGAATGGCATGACACTGAGTAGTCCTTTGGCACCTGAAGGAGCACTTCTTTGCCCAAAGTCCAAGTGATTCTGAGAAGTGGCTACTAGGAGGCTTCTTGCTCTAAGAGTTTGATCCACTTACTTGGCTAAGCAGCTCTGCTCCTTCTCGTGTGTTTTACCAGCTGACAGCACAAGTGGCCAGATGGCTGTTTGTGTCTTGGTTTGGTATAATCTGAGAGGCAGCTCTGTCTACCTGGTTAGCTGTTAACCTCGGGAAACCTTGTCTTGCTCTCTGTTTCTCCTCGGTTCCTAAGCCAGTTATCAGTAGAGTTAGTCGTGACTGTTGTTCCTTGGAGCGGACACCGGTGCCATAAGGACTGGAATCGCTGAACTAACTTCGCACAAGCCAGAAGGAGTCACAGGACATTCCAGGGCGGTGTCCCAGTGAGAGCATCAGTTAGGCTCCACGTAACCATCTTGCAGCATCTCCCACTTCATGCATGTAAAGAGCCTGGCTGCTATCTGAAGTGAGGACCCTCTGCAAGAGTTGCAGCGCAGCAGCGAGGCAGTAACTGAGCAAGGACAGAGAGAAAGCATTCTCCTTCGCTCAGATGAGTGGTAATGGAAATAACATTCCAATGGGTACCTAAGAGAGAGATTTCTGTAAGGGAATATCACTGACCTAATTACAAATCATGTCTCCTGTACTTTTTCTTCCCTCTCCCAGCCTGGTACGTTTTTCCTACTGTATAACATGCCATACTCACCCCAGAGTTGCTTATCGCAGCACCACTGACTGACTTCCCTGTTCCTAACTGTACAGAAGACTAAGATGCTATGGAAAGGAACATCACGTTGCATTTCCTTTTTACAGTTTGAATAATACATTTCTATTCACTATCCAAACAGTGAAAACAAAACTGAAACTCTGACCTTGCAAGGTTCTAAATAAGAACAAATACAGACAGATGTGTATACTGGCGAGCAAGTTTTTGCATAGTATATTTAGGCTATTGTCCAAGTATGACAGGAGATCAATGGTAAAAGCTGCTTTTAGAGGGTGGGTTTAGACAAAGCTTTTGCTGGTCAGAGTTTCCTCTTGCCCATTTGCAAGACGGGAAAAAAACCCAACCATATAACTGCAGTGGCAGAAGACATCTTTATCAGTTTTAGGTGGTGGCTGACCATTTACCACCTCTAGCCCGTGGTTTTGCTTGAAAGATGAAAATCAGGCAGAGAAAAGTTGACGTTGGTATCTGGCTCGTCACGCAGCGCCTGCGTACAGATAGCCTGATGTGTTGAGCTTGCTGTGGACCTGCAGAACAACTTCCTGGCCTTGGTGCATTGCTCTTGATGCAGGAAAGTTGCACTGGGAGAAATAATCGCTCGGGGAGAGAAGATGAGAAAGCTTCCTGTGAACAACACAATCAAGTTGTAGCTGGGCTGAGTATTGCTTAGCTGCAGGGCTCCAAGTACAGCATCTTGGCTTTGCTGTTTACGCACCGTTCTATTTGTGCCTTGGAGATGAGCAGCACCCAAAGATGGCAGCAAATAAAAGGAGAGCAACAAAAACAAGACAGAAGGTGCCAATCACCACTAGCCCTCCAAGAGCCCAGTCGCTTGTTAGAATCAGTTTCTTCAGGTCTTCCAGAGCTGATGATGCCTCTTGTACTGCTGCCATCCTGGCTTCCACCCTTCTGGAGGTAGACAAGAACCGTGTCAGACATTGAGGGGACGCTCTCTACACTTGGAGCCACAGTCCTGAAAGCAGTACAGGCATGCGTGCTCTCTGTGCCTGCAGGCATCCCCCTTCCAAAAGTGTGGGTCACCCTTCACAGAAATGGGAACATAAACCTGAGGAAAGATGGCTGTGGCTGGTTTCCCAATCAGATCTACAAAGAGGAAAGGTTCTGGCTTTACAAGATTTTGGCAGTTGATAGTTATTTTAATCCTAGTTTATGGACATTTTTAATAATACAGTGTCTCTCCCAGAACGT